TTAGGTTCTACTTCCCTTCCAATTCAAAGTTGAACTTAAGCCTAAGGAAACAACTACCCCTATTAGAAAAAAATCGTATAATTGTAAATTAAAGCGGGTAATTGATTCAAATCATCTTTTAAATGTGTGAATAAATATCAATTAACATTAAACAATATATCTTACCTCTAAAATAGTTATAATTAAAACAATGTCATAGAATACTTTAACTCCGCTGATTTGGAAACTACCCGTATTAATCATATAATTGTAAATTCAAGCAATTTGGGATTATTTAATTATACAGTAACATTAAATTTATATTTGCTGTTTTTATTTTTTACCACATAATTTCTACCCTTATAAAAACCAGCCCTTGCGAAAAAATTCGAATAGTTGTAGTAATTTTTTTTCTTCATTGATACTATATACAGGGTAGTGACTTGCCTAACGCATCATAGGGATGTCAATGTAAAATTCATAACATGCGATTATTGGCTCCCTAAATTATTTTAAAGCAAAAATGTATTAAGGTTTTTTGTAGACAAAAATTTTTTACGTCCATCAGCCGTATTAGTTTTCAATTTTTTGCATAATAAATACGGAAAATTGGAAAAATAAAACCCGCATGTTTTTCAATAATCTGTGATGCCATGGAATTTTATAGTACCAAAACTACGCCAATATCCGTCATGCCATGGAATGTCTGCTATAAAACAAATCAAATTCTATCAAAAAGTATTATATTTAGAACAGCCAATTCAACATAAAGAAAGACCAAATTACTAAAAACGGTTTCCTAATATAACAATTTACAAATAAATGTTCGAATAAGTCACCATTAACTGCAAGACAGTAACCAAGTCGATCATAAAATCCATTACGAACTGCTGCTAATTGATAATTGGATATCTTTTTGTTTTAGAAAATTCCATGGCATCGCAGATTATTGAAAAAGATGTGGGTTTTATTTTTCCAATTTTCCGTCTTTATATGAAAAAAATTGAAAACTAATACGGTTGAATGGCGTAAAAAAACTTTAATACATTTTTGATATAAAATAATTTGGGGAGCCAATAATCGCATGTTATGAATTTTACATTGAAATCTCTATGATGCGATACGCCAGTCACCACTCTGTATACAGTAATTTTTTTAATTAAAATTTTACGAATTTATTTTATTTCAATTAAAAAAACAACCTTTATTGTTTGAAATATACGTCCTAGATCTCTAGATTTTCAATAATAAATAGAAAAAAATAAAATTTATTTTTATGTGAATGTTAATTATTTATTTATAATACAATAATGCTTTGAATTGTAAAAAGTATTGAAAAATAATTAAATTTCTTTTTCAGTGTCGTCTTTCTCTTCACCTCCACTTCTTTCCACACGAACCTCATCCTCGTTCGCATCTTCGGTCTCATCTTCACCTTCTTCGTTGTCCATTATTGGAGCACTATTGCCTTAATAGCACATTATGTTATGTGTATCTTACAATGCTCCAATAAACACGCGTTTTGATGTAGGTATTAAATATATGATTGGTTTTTTACTTATGAATCGGTTAATTTTTAAGCTACGAAGTGCTTTAAAAAACTATTTTGTAGGTTTTTTTAAAAGCTATAAGATTATTCAGATTAATTTTTTTAAACCCGTATTTTTGAATGGGTTGTAGTTGAAAGGGCTCGAATGAGTCACGAATAACGAGTGTATGCAAACTTTGAACAGCCATATCTTAACCAATTTTTGTTTTACAGAAAAACAAAAAAAAACAAAATGTTCAGAAAAGTAAAAGCTATATTTTTTTATTCTTGTAAATTTTTCATAGCATACTTTTGAAGTTATTCTGAAAAAAAGGCAATTTTTCAAAATTTCAAATTTTTTTTACTTCAAAACTGCATTTTTTTCAAGGTATATTTTTGCTAAGAATACTTTTTTCGATACAATACTTACTTTTAGAGTTATTTGCGAAAAACTGTTTCAAAACGTGTTTTTTTGTTGAAAAATGAACATTTTCACTCGCAAATAACTCGAATACTACTTAGTGAAAAAACTTTATACTTTATAGAACAAAAGTTGCTTAGAATTACTCAATTTATCAATTTTTCTTATTTTGAACGTATCCCCCCCCCCCAAAGTAAAAGCAACCCTGGGCTCAAGTTCACCTTTGAAGTAGAGGATAAGAGGAACCTAAATCCAAATTTTCAAGCAAATCCGTCGAGGCGCGAAAAATTACACGCCAAAACGGTCATTTACTGGCCTACTTTTCTGAGAAGTATTTCATACTGTGACTTTTGAGGGCCGAAAGTTGCGGGGAAGGTGGTATCACCGGGGGTCTAGAATACCCCCCAGCATACCCCTTTTTGCCTTTGGGGGCGGGGCGATATTCTATATCCTCCAGTGTTACGTTCTCTTCCAAAATATGTTTTTGTTTCAATAATAACGGGCGATCAAAATTGAGTTGCTGTCGAGTCACCTTTGGAATTTTTGTTTACATGGGAAATCGTATCCAAAGCCGTCTTGACAGCAATTCATTTTTGATTGCCCGTTATATATCAATAGGTTTCTATTCCCGAGCGTTCTTAGGCAAATTTCAACTTAATTAATCATTTTTGGCTACGTTGCAATATCAGGAGTACATCAAATGCGAAATTTTTGTACCTACGCCTGATACGTTCAATTAACTCGGGAAGCTTTGATTCAAGAGGAGATAAAACAGTCATTAAGTAAATTTAGATTTCATTTGACGTTTTTGGCTAAATGCAAATTTCTGTACTCCTGATACGTAAAATGGTTTGTGGAAACGTTTGTTTCAAGAAGATAAGCCAAAAGGTTTCTATTCCCGGGCGCGCTTAGGCAAATTTAAATGTAATCAATCAGTCTTCGCTACGTTGCAATATCAGGAGTACATCAAACGCAACATTACTGTTCGCCTAATACGTTCTCCAATTACTAGAAGCTTTTATTCAAGAAGATTCCAATTCCTAGCCTTCCTAAACAAATTTAAATCTAATAAAACCTTTTTGCCTTCATTGCCGGTATCAGGAGTATATTAAACACAAAAGTTCTGCACGCCTGATACTGTAATCGATTATTGTAAGCTTTGATTCATGAAGGTAAACCAATGGATTTCAAATATTTAGCGCCCAAAAGCAAACTTAATTTAATCAAACGTTTCTGGTTACGTTACTGGTATCAGGAGTAGATCAATCGAAAAATTTCTGTACGCCTGATATGTTCGACGGTTACTGGAAGATTTAGTTAAAAAAGATATACCAATAGTCGGTTCCCGAGAATAATGCAATGCAAAGTTACACCGAATTTAATGGTTTCTGGCTACGCTGTGGGACAAAGTATTACATCAATTGCAAAATTCCTGCACGCCTGATACATTCATCTTTTACTGTGAGCTATTTGATTGGTGGAGATAAGCCAATTGACTTCATATTTCTTGGCGTCCAGAAGCAAATTTAAGCGGTATTTATACGTGCATGTGTATTACTCTTTCAAATTTTATGGGTTTTTGGATTTGATCTCTTATATTCAATTTGAAAATGTAGGGAGGATAATAAGCATATGCAATCTCTAGCATAGAGTAAAAGTTTTAAGAATTATTTTTTCATAAATTTATCTCTTCTCAACCGCTTTTTAATACAGAGCGTTGGAAAGTACACATTTTTATTAGAACTTAATATAGGTAATTAGTAATTACTTACTAAGAAATTACTATATAATCACCCTCCATTTTCCACTCCAAAAATATGGGGGTATAGCTCAGTGGTAGAGCATTCGACTGCAGATCGAGAGGTCCCCGGTTCAAACCCGGGTGCCCCCTCACCTTTTTTTTATAGGGCGCTGGACGTAGAAATTACCAAGCATGTACTTTGCAACTCAATTTAATAAAAAATAATATGAAATGTACATAATATCGTATTGTTGGTCCTCAACCAATTTTAAAGGTATAATAATAACAAATACAAAAATATAACAATTTCATCCAAATAAAAGCCTTAAGCGACAACAAGTTCAGTATTAGAATCCTTGGTAACCAATTGCAATAAACTGCCATTGGCAGGACGCGCCTGGTTACTGCTCCATTTCCAAAACAGTTCGGCCAGAAATTCCAGAGAGGTCCACGTAGTGAAATCCGCATTTGGCATCCACTTTCGATTCATTGGGGTATCCAAAGTAATAGGTAAAATTGCGACACAAGTTGCACCGGTGGGAAGCCCGCTGTCTTTACCGGCTAGGCTTTTTGTTAAATGGTGTACAGCCGCTTTGGCCATGCCATAACCGATCATACCTGGAGTTTCTTGAAGTGCTGCACTAGCACCTGTCAACGTTAACAAACCGCCCTCCTTCAAGTGCGAGGCCGCAACACTCGCTGATACAACTGAGCTCCACACACTTTGCCGCCACATAAGATCTGCACTTTTTGCAAGGCCCTTTTTAGCATTGCCACCGGCCCACCCACCTGCCACACAAATTATGGCGTCGAGCTTCGATGACCCTAGAGCCGAAGAGACAGATGTTAGTACGGATTCTTCCTGTTCTGGTAGGCTGTCGGTGCTGGTAACCACAATGTTGTGATCGGCTTCGTCGTTTAATCCCAAATCAATCGATGCTACCCACCAATTTTGTTGTTTGAAATGGGACACGCACGTTGCTCCTAGCGCTCCTCTGCCACCGTAGATTAGCACTTTGGGAGAAGACATGCTGAACGTTTGACAGTGGCCACGAAAGTGACAGGAAGTGAAAGGTAAAACCACGAGCTGGAAGAACAAGATTAGACGCAGCAGGAAGGAGGTTGGGCTGGGTTAGGGGTTTTCGATTTTCCACCTTCGTCACCATCAGCAGCGTTAACCGCAAGTGCTGGCATCGCGCACGGTTCGTAGTTTTCGCGATTATCGGACGGGGGTCACCTTTTTTATTGTAATCTAATCATAAGCCGCCGTTTAAAAATAGCAAGAAACCTTTTGATAAAAGCGCGAAGCTCGCTGAAGTTGGCGGCCTTTTTTTAAATAAAATAAATAAAAAAATCTCCCACAGATGTCGCGTAAATAAAAAGCCTGTCGCCTTTCGGCTGCCGCCATTTTCCTTTCTTCGTAAAACGTTTTTTAAGTAGAACTAGACGTAGTTTCGGGTTTGACTTAAAAAATATGCCAGTAAAAGTCGACATAATTCCTCCACCACCAGCAAACTCCAAACAGCCGGGAGTGACAAAATCCTTATTGTATAATGGGTCGCGATTTCAAGGTTTTCAAAAATCCAAAGGCAATTCCTACGAAGTAGAAGTCGTCTTGCAGGTTAGACTTTCTCCTTTTTTTTCGCTTTGTTTTTTTTGGATCGTTACGTAAACGGTTAAATTTAGAAATGTTTGCACAAAAATGGCGGGATCTATAACTTCGGTTCTTTGCAGCATGTCGACGAAGAGAACTCCTACCTGTGCGGGTACCTGCAAATAAACGGACTGACCGACGAGTATCCGACGTTAACGACGTTCTTCGATGGCGAAATAATCAGCTCGAAGTATCCCTTCCTCACCAGAAAGTGGGACGCGGACGAGGACGTAGACAAGAAGCACTGGGTATGATTATTTCAGGTCATTATTGAAAATATTCATTTGCTCTTTTATTTTTATAATGAATTACAGAGCAAATTTTCCTCGTTTTGTCAGTACGCGAAGACGTTTAACTCAGACTCGTTCGATTACAAAGCGCTGGCGGAAACAGATTATGTGTTCATGAGGTGGAAAGAGCACTTTTTAGTACCTGACCATACCATTAAGGATATTAGCGGGGCGTCCTTCGCTGGATTTTACTACATTTGCTTCCAAAAGTCCAAAGCCACAATCGAGGGGTATTATTACCACAGAAGCTCCGAATGGTAAGTTCTCTTTTATTGTGATCGTGCACACAATTATATCGTACATTTTCAGGTACCAATCTTTAAATTTGACACACGTACCCGAACACAGCATACAAATCTACGAGTTTAGGTGAAGCGTGAGTGGTCAGGCAGATTTTTTTTTATCATAACGGCGTACTTTACTAGCACCAAATTCATTCGGTTAAATCATTTTAACGGCTGCACTGTTTGTTAATCATAGAAGTCTGTAACGTTCTGATTTATGATTTCTCAGTATTGTCTTACATGTGATAAAAGATTCATAGGTTTAGAACAATTTCGTAATGATATTTACACATCACCAGTACCTATAAAGACCAGTGTGACATTTTGATATTGTGCGGCTATCTTAATACACTAATTTCAAAGTTTTTGGTGTCAAATTTTGTCTGTAATAAAATATATATGCAAGTGTTGACAATTTTTTTTAATATACAAAAGTTTAATTTTTTAGTTCTCAAAGATATGGCTTTGAAATTTTGAGTATTTAGTTTTTTATGTATTGTTATACTGTTTTGTATATTATGTATAAATGTATTAAATATATTTTTTTGAAAAGTACAAAAAGCTCAAATGTCTCGAAAACTGTGATTTCTGAAACAATTCAATGGAATTTTAACAGGGAGATTTGTCAATTTGGGACAAAAGTCTCAAGCTGTTGTAATCAAATTGTCTCTATTCAGAAACTTGAAGACTCAGATTTGCCCAGGAGCCCCAATAATAAGGCTTAGTTGTTCATTGCGACAGCGCCTAGAATTGACTGGTCGCCTATTCTTTAATCCTGGTCCTGATAACGGAGGAGAAAATTCCTAGGGCAGGCTTAGGGTCATGGGTAAAACGAAATTTACAATAAAATGTAACCATGCACCGTTTCTAGGAATTTTTTGAGAAAACAAGCGTTTACCTCAAATTGTAACCTTGAGAGATAACAGAGATACATCTTTTGTATTATATATTAGAATATACAGGGTGTCCGAAAAGTATGGAATATCGCAAAGGTATAATTATCTTTTATCGAAAAATATAACAATAGAACTTTTTTTAAATACCAAATAAGATATATCTTTTGCCAACTTATTTGATAGTGTTTTATTCCCCTTTCAAAAATGTGAAATATTAATACCCTTGCATAGAAAAAATTTTGAGAAAACTGCCCATAGATCAAGAATACTCATTAATCTAGTCGCCTATGACCGTTTTATGCTTATGTATGATATTGAAACAAGTACCTAAAGGTACTTCCTTCTCCTTTCTTCATATCGTTTGATTTTCAAGAAATATCCTTTAATGAGATGCGTGATACTGTATCCAGCATTAATAATAGTGATTGTAGAGATCATTTTGGCATCACGGCTGACATTGTGAAGTCCGTGTTAAACGTCATAATTGTTCCATTAACTAAAATTATAAATGCCTGTATACGAAATTCAGTTTACCCCAATGAATTGAAAATATCCAAAGTTATTCCTCTGCATAAAAAGGGTTGTATAAGGATAATCTTACAAACTATCGACCACTATCAATTACTCCAGTCTTTTCTAAAATTTTTGAAAAAATTTTAAAAAAACAAATTATGTCCTTTTTTGAAGCAAAAAAGTTATTTTGCTACAGTCAATTTGGTTTTCGTAACAATAAATCCACTGCGAGTGCCATCTCGAAGTTAACCAACTTAATTTTAACCTGTTTTGAATCTAATGAAATTTGTGTTGCAAATTTTTTAGATTTAACTAAAGCCTTCGACTGTGTGAGTCACTCAATATTACCATTGAATAAAAACACTATTTATTCAATGATATTACTGAGTAAACTTCCAAAATATAATTTCCAATATAAAAGCATTATGTTGTTAGAATCGTATTTGAACGATCGAATTCAGTATGTATATTTTAATAACTGTGCATCGGGTTTTAAGCAAATTGAGACAGGCGTGACTCAAGGTTCAGTACTTGGCCCAGTACTTTTCCTAATATATATTAACGAGAACGACATTGCTCAGGTGCATGATGAGTTAATTTTATATGCAGATGATACTACTTTATTAAATAGATGTAACACCATAACTGACTACACAAGCACCGGTATAATATTCTTGAAGAGTGGTTTACTGATAATAAGTTGCTCGTAAATCATGATAAATCAGTTAAGTACATATTTAGTTTAAAACAAATTGATCAAATCAATAATACTGGTTCATTAAAATTCCTGGGTGTATATCTTGACCCGAAATTGAATTGGTCTGAGCACTGCAATCAGGTGTGCACAAAATTGTCGAAAGCATGTTTTGTTTTGAGGAGTTTGAAATCAATGACATCTCATGAAGTTATGCTAAATGCTTACTATGGTTACTTCCACTCAGTAATGAGCTACGCCATAATTGCATGGGCACATTCTTCTGGGGTTAAACGGATGTTTGCTATACAAAGACGTGCGATTAGGATACTCACTAATTTAGGCTACAGAAGTTGTTGTAGGTGTAAGTTTGTTGAACATGGTATTTTAACCCTTCCCAGCTTGTACATTCTACATTGTATATTATTCATAAAAGAAAACATTGCTGATTACCAGTTTTCATATAACATACATGAATAGGTACTCCACTAGGTGTAGAGACAATATTAGCTCAAAATCTATTCGACTTACAACATCTCGGAACTGTAGTAACTATTACGGGATAAAATGTTATAATAAGTTATACCCTCAAATCTGCGTCTTTTATCTTTCAATAAATTAAAAAATTAGGTAAGTAAATACCTTAAATTACACCCTTTTTATTCTGTCGATGAATTTTTAAGTGCGGAATGGCACCTGTAACTATTACTACTTTTTTTCTTTTGTAGTACATGTTTTTGTTTTGCTCGGTTTTGTTTCTTTAGTGTTCGTTTTATCTACGCTACTTGACGAATCTGATATAGTCGCAGCACTATCATAGAGTATTTACATTATTATTATTATTATTATTATTATTATCCTAGTAAAATTTTAGTACGCTGCCTTTCGGATAAAATAATGAGCCACTCCTGTTTACTTCAAAAGTGTATTTCACTCACAAATGGATGTCAACCAATGTAAATTAGTAACTTTTTACTTCAAGTGCCATCTTGACAAGTTCTAAGGCGCAATCAATTGTTTCAATATCTAGATGAGAATCAAACGGTCATAGGTGACTAGACTAATGAACGTTGTTGAAATACGCAATCTGTTGCGCTTTTGTTTAAAAAAAAATAAAAAATTCCATGTGATAAAAGATTAAATACAAAATAACTTTTATTTAAAATGTTGTTGTATAGAATGGATATTTACACAGATATACCTACAGATTGATTCAAATTCGAGGGCTACCATATGGGGATCTCGGAAACCGTAAAAGATTAAAACTAGCATCTTGTAGATGGAAAAAGTGGCCATAATAATGTTTCATTTATTTTGAAATATCTTCTAAAATAATTTCAGTAAATCATAAAAACGACTTTGCCAAATTTAAACTACCTGCCTCTCTTACACTTTCCAGGATCCCCACGGTGCCCCTCAACTTTGAAAAATAGTAATTATACTTTAAAGGGACAGTGACGACAATAGAGTGTCTAATTTTTGATTGGTTGTTGAGATCGGTCGCCATGTTGGATATACAGTGATATTTATTAAGAAGTAGACGAAGGGATTAACGTGTATTGTTTTTCCAATGTCTAAATTTAAATGACAAAATCCTTATCTGAAGGGCGCCTAACTTATTCTTCTAAAATAACTTCTTAAAAAAAATAAAAATTAATGTATTGCAATATTGTTACTTTGACTTTACAGAAAATAAACCTCTTACGCTCCTTAAACTGTTACTCTGGCACTATACCAATTGAAAATATAAACTTTTTCTTCAGTTGAATATATCGCACATGAACGAAAATTAAAATATGGAAGCCAAAGTAACAATATTCAAATTAATTAATATAATAGTTGCTCGACGTGTCAAACGTTAATTTTATTCTCACAATTTGTATGCCGTGCTGTTCATACCCACTCTTTGTTGTTGTTTTTGTGTTTTTTTCTGATTGCATGATTGGCAGACAGCACCCTTTTGAGCTCGGAAAGACTGCGGGTACGACTGAAAGTGAACGTTTGCCCATATTGACTTTCGATGCACTCCAAGTTGTAGGTAATTAAAATTTTTATTCTAACATTTGGATGAGAGGGCAAGTGGGCATGCAGTTTTACCAACTGCGGACGGTGAACTAAGAATGATGCTCTACGAGAGATAACAATAGGTAAGGAATTGACAACTTTGACGCTTTTAATGGATTTCTTCCTTCACAAACACACCTTACCTGTTGATATCTCTTTTTTGCGCAGCAACCTTCATTTAAAACGTCTCTCGTAGAGCGACATTCTTAGTTTATGGCCTGCTGTTCGTAAAACTAGATACCCACTTGCTCTCTATCCCAATACCATATGTTAGAACGGCTGGTCGCTATTATTTTTCAGCTACATACCTACCTGAACTATCGGGTCAAATAGTTACCGCCCAAAAACTGCCCAGACCTCCCAAAAAGAAGTTCTTTAAAATGCGATGGATGCAAGAAGATCTCGAGGAACTCATTATCCACCCCGACTAATCTACTTTGCGTTAACTTATCGTGCTTAACTAAAAGTAATTTTGTTGCGTGAGCTCATGCTCAGTGCCCGCAACAAAATCGATGAAAGGCACTATTTCAAATGCTTGATCAAAATATTTGCGAGTACGTTAGATATGCATCATACCCTTCAATTATCGAAAAGGGAATTAAGTAAACGCATGCTTATCTTTGAGTGTAGGTACTTATATGTACAAACAGATGAAAGAGAAACGCCGAATTGAAGTGGAAATGATAGTCCAGTAAATGGATGTCGTGTAGGTAGTACTTATCTTAGATAAGCAGAAAGGTTTCCAATGTACCTTCCAACACCATCAAAAGTTTTGCAATTACCTACATCCTGTGTTAAAGCAGTTTTTGTGTATAAAAATATCTTAAAGTTGAGCGAGGTTCCACCCTGTATATACAACTTACGACGATACATACATTTTTGAGAGTTGGCAACCATGCAACTTCTAGGTGGGAAAAAAGCTGCCTGCGCCACCTAATAAGCACGAACGGGGGTTACGTTGGGCATCTTGTCTTGAATGGCGGTCGTGAACGTTTCGCTCCATAAATGTTTGTTGTTATTTTGTGTTATTTAATGCAGGTAGTAATTTTTGCATTTCTTTATATCGTATTTGTGTTTTGTATGCCGCATTTTATATTTGTTGTGTGTTTGAATCTCTGTTTTTGAAATTTACTTTGTTTAACCGCAATGCAATCATATGTGTGATACCGTTATGCTATTGTTTATAATTGTTTACATTTTTGGTGTAATGTTTGCTTTAATTTATGTTTATTGATGTTGATTACTTGGTCTTGTCCCTGAAGTTACATTCATATAAGTTTTGATCTTTTTATTTTAATATGTTGAAGTTACTGATTCGTTTAATGTATGTACTGACTTGTTGTTTGTTACTTACTAACAATTTTCTCCGTGAATGAAGCAGTCACGGGAGGTGGCAAAAGAAACTGTAGTCTATAATTATGTGTCCCATTGTCCCCAAAAACTTGCTTTAACCTTGAGTGTAACCAACATTGTGTATATGCATTTACTATCTTTGTTAACTACTGCTTAAACTTTTACAAAATATTTTGTTAATTAACTTTTGGACTGTTTTAATCAAACTGCAAGGTTTTTCTTACGTCGTACTCTTTTTACCCTTGGCAGTGACTTTTGCGAGAGTACGCCACCTTTTGGCTTTGTTTGTTTTGTTTATATTAATGTACATCAACTAAATTTCCGGGTTTTCACAATCATAATAATTACGATCATTATTAAACAAACTTTTCACAATTTCAGTGTTTTATTTAACGTTCCTTCCCTATTGTGCTTCAGGTCAAAGCGTTGTCTACAACTAACGTAAGGGGGCCCTGCCTTAGATGTTTTATCACGTGCCACTTTTCAAATTTAAGCGGGATCTTGTTTAGTTTTAGAGGGAATAGTCATTCGGGTGGCCATTATTAAACGTTGCCGGGTTTATTTTATTTCTGTGTTCTTGTAGTGTGAAGTAAGCGCAGAACCTGGGGGTTAAGTACACTACAAAGTTTTGGTTGATCATTTGACCTATCAAGTAGACTCGCGATATACCTAGAGAAGATAACGCTTGCGTTCATCAGACGAAGTGCTTCATGACCGCTACGTAAAGACGGACGGAAATACTCTACCGAGATTTTTCGTGCGAATTGCTGTCTGATAGCCCTGTGGAAGTGTAAATAGTGCTAAATACCATCGTACGTCCGACTTACGGTGGTATGTATACCTCGACAGTGCTATCAGAGCGCAATGCACTTGAGAAATCTTGCTAGAGTATTCCCGTCTTTAGGTAGAAGCGCTTCGTCTGGTGTGAAAACTGTGAACAGTTTGCTTCGGACATCCTGGATAATCGAGATCAAGCGGATCAAGTATATATCGAACGATGTGTAGGTAGGTCAGGGACCCGGACCTGACCGAAAAAGAACCGAAAACCGTACCGAAACCGGTATTTTTTTCAGGACCGAAAACCGAACCGAAACCGTTATTCCTTCAGAAATGGAAACTTATGGAGAACCGGAACCCTTGTTATTTTTTCGGCTCTTTTCGGTTTTTCGGTGGATTATAAATTTTTAATAAGATGTCGAAATTGAGGTGACGGTGGCGGTAATTTAGCCACTACTGTAAATGTAAATAATCAGAGGGGCGAGGTTTTAGAAAATAAAAATAAAAACAATACCCCCATACATAATTTTTTTACATTTAACATTTGTGAATTTTTTCTATTTTTTATTAATAAATTAAGTTTAAATACATATATTTCCCTCTTCCTCCTTTATTCCCCTTGCTGTTGTAAATTAGCTACACTGACAAATACGTTGGGTTTTGGTACTCATGATTTTTTATTTCTTTCTCACACCTATTAATTAACAAATTACGTTGTTATAATGAATGCCATACCTTCTAAAAGACCAGAACGGAAAAGAACCGTTATGGACCGAAAAAAATGCGCAGAACCGAACCGTTATTTTTTTAGAACCGAAACCGGACCTGAACCTTTATAAATATTTTCGCTTACGTATAAAAAGAACCGGAACCTATATTCTATTTGGGTCCGGGTCCCTGGTAGGTATACCGCTTGGGTTAAGTCGGGAGCCCCACAAGGTTACAACGTTATTGGGACATTAATGATTTGCCCGTTGCAGTCACGAACTGTGAAACATTGACATTACATGCGACAGGTGACACATATGCCTCTGTTGTACGATCAAATTAAGCTATGGTTCTCATACATATATGGTAGATTTCCTGCGACTGCCTGAAACCTTCTATAAAACCCGGACCGGGGACCATGTGCTGTTGCAAAATCGATAGTCGAACGGCGAATCTAATGCAAAAACCGCCCCCCCCCCGCATCCGTTCCCCCCAGTTACGCTGTCCGAACTTGTCTCGTTCGAATTCTACCGAACCGACACTTCCTATGTTCATTTTTTCGTATCTTCCCTCCTTCATTTTCAAACTCGCAACCTTTTGAAAAACCGCCTCCGCCCCCCTTCCTTCTTCCCTGGACGGGTGCGCCCGCCTACGGCTACAACTTCTGGAAGTACTCATCCCACAGGTCTTTACCTTCTTCATCGATTGATCGACAGGCCCATCCTTCCTAACCTGCAACCGCGGCGGGCGGCGCCATCCTTGTAGCTCTTACTTCCCGCTTCCCGCTCCCACGAAAATGGTGGTTCTGCTGTTGGAGGCCACTCTAGCTATTTCCTTCATTTTCACATATATTTTCATCTGCGTTCTGTAGTTTGCAAAGTACATAATCGATCTTCTGCGAGTAAAAAAGTGGACCTAGCGCAAAGTACTGCCAGCAACTACTAGTTTGAATGTCTAGCCGTCGTCCGTCCGTCCGGCTGTTATTAGTTAGCGTGAGTAAGGTCATTAAACTCGCAGGTAATATTACATGTAAAAGATCTTTCCTCTACTTATGTTTAATGTATTTTAAACATTATTTTTGTTGAGAAAGATTTTGTTTACCCACCTTAAAGTCCAGATAGATGCAGGTTCTCACTTTCACTTCTTCTAAGTGCTCAATAACGTAGGAAAAGGGTGCATCATACAATTCCTTCATATTTCTTCAGAAAAGTAAAATATTCCTAGGTTTTCAACTGTACTTTTCTTTATTGAAGTATTTCAAATATAAACAAATAGTTGCTGTATTATAAATAATTGTAATTACACTGAACATCGATTCCAAATTTGTTTAAAGAGTAACAGAAATATATCTAAGTTGTTATTACACAATTTGCAGATATGGTGACGTGACTTTGTTTACAAAAAGTAAATCCTACATAACTAATCTACATAAACGTACCTAGAAGAGAGACCAACATATATTAATATAAACACTTAAAAATAAAACACAATGATAAAAACATACATAAGAAATTATAATTAAAAAGGTAATATCACAGGTTTTTACTTTTTCATCAAAATTTTATAAGAAAAGGTTAGAGCGATGCAGTTCGTGTATCAATGCTTGAAAAACACAGATAAATAAAGTGAAAAAAAACTACTTATCACATGCTGAAGTAAAGTATACTTATAGATAGAGGATACTATGAGTAGATAGTGAAACATTTTGGTACCTAAAATAACAGGCAGTATCTAAAAATACAATTTAATTCAGTCTCAATTGAAAGAAAAGGGTTCACGTGACGTACACATTTTATAAAAGGTATCAAAATTTCGATCTACATTTATAGTGTAAAAAATAATTTTCGAGATCACGCATAATTAGAGAACGGTTTCGATCTGATCAATAAATGGTGAATGTGTACAAATGACTTTATAAGCAAATAGCACCTTCATTGAATGCTTCTTTGATACAAGATAATTTACTTCTAAATGTATCCCATATACAGCCTAAGACAATATAGGCTTTAAAAATTATGCTACCGACGACTACTATGTAATCAAAGTAAAGTAAAATTTCATAATCATACTTAAGACTAAGGTATATGTGATAGAATCGTGAAGATTATTCGCCGACGACGACGTATCCGTGTACGGTGCTTTGTTTCCGGGAGCGATACCCAGATTTCGCGTGCATCCCATCCAAAATGGCGCCGATGGTGTTTGCTGTTCGTTTTCTACTCGCATACGCAGATCGTCAAACTTCCAAAATCCTTTGCCTTTGAAAAAGTAAGTTTTTCCTAAAAGGGGCGAATATTAAAATGGAAGGGCAAAGAGTATGGGAGTATAATACCATCTTTCCATTGAAAAACGGCGTCGATATGTGTCCCTACACCTTTCCACATGCTCATGTCGCGGGGATAATCGAGCTCTACATTCTGAAGGTCTTCATCAAATCTGCAATTAATTGATGTGTTAGGTAGTAGTTAGCAAATTTAATTGACAGATTAATGAGAAAACAAATTCCCTTTATATAACCCAGATCGTTCATGATTTTGGGCTTTCTGTCCGTGCGTCCGTCATGATAAGTCGCGAACGTTAAGTAATTTGTATACACTGCTATTCATTACAAGGTACACAGGGATTTATGTGTATTATTTTTCCCTATGCCTACTTTTAAATAACAAAACTGTTCTGAAGGGCGCCTAATTTTATGCAACCAAAATAACTTCTTAAAACAAATAAAGATCTGGCTGCCACATTAATTAATTGGAATATTGTTGCTTTGGGTTTCGTATCGTGTGTGGTGTGCGAGATGAATCGCTTCAGCGACGCTTGGTAAGCGAAATTAACATTTCCGATGGCATTTTACACAGCGATAGCGGCCGAAAATGCCGCATGCTGTGAGTACTCTCCTTCGGCAGTCTGCTCTTGAGATATATGGAATTAGGTATCATGATAAACGGTCACGGACTATGGTTGGTAGAAATTAATTGTTTCATTGAGAATTTTCACTACAGTACCATAAAGGATATAATCAGCCCCCTCCCCAACCCCTTATTTTCATAAGGAATAAGAAAGAAGAGCGGTACTTGGTAGAGAACAGTTCCATTTGTTGCTATCTTTAATGAGAATACCATGAAAGATAAAATCCATTTCTACGCCCCCCCCCACGTTTCCCCCCGTCAGTCCCTGATCTAGAAAAGGAGTCGCGAGGGAATACCGTGAAGGGTAGGTTCAAAATCGCAGAAGTGGGTCCGCACGGAAAGACGGACGGACGGACAAAACAAAATTAATTAAAAAATGCGCTAAAAACTCTCTCTCTCTCTCTCTCTCTCTTTCTCTCTCTAAAAATCTTGTGGATTCTGTAAAGCAAAAGTTTCGAATGTCTTCTAAGAGCTTTGGTGAGTTTCAAGAACTAAATACGAGGGAAAGTCATTAACCAAATCAGAAGCTGCCTTGAGAAACCTGACATTAAGTGGCAGAACAAGCTACCTTTATAATACTCAAGTTACATTTGCCACATTCATACCCAGGAAGCCTTTAAATGGCGATTGTCCTCGTGTACAGCGGAAGAGCAAATTTTGGGACCTTTGAGAGCCTTTCATTTTAGGTCTTTGGTTTAGTAGGAATAAAAAATTTATTTTGGATTCCTATGCATAGGTACTTAACTGTTACACACTTTATAAATAGAGGAAACTTTAATTCTGAAAAAAAATTACTCTTGTATCCCTGATACAAGACGTAAAAATGATACTGCTCTTAATCTTTCATTACATTCTTGCAAATTATTTCATTATAATTACTGTAATTAAACGTAACATCATGATAATTTACTTCATTATCCATTAATTATAAAAAAAAAACAGTACCTGCTTTGTATCAAATGTCAATGTTGCGTTTTGAACTAAGGCGTACAGAATCAAAGCAAAATGCAAATGTGTGTAAAACATTAATTTTGAAATTGTGTTCTAGAGCTTCTGAAGAACTTCATTAATACGAAAATTAAAACGCACGAATTGTTGAAACGAACTAATGGGATGAATGAAAGTAAACAAAGACAAACAAGTCGCGCACGTCTGACCGCCGGTTCGGCTGACAAACTCCGCCCCGCGGCTTACGTCACGCATCGTCCCGTTCGGCCAATCAGAGCGCACCTTGCCATATTTGAAAAAAATCTGTATATTTTCGCGGAAGCGATAAAATATGCAGAACTTCCGCACTTGCTGAAGCAGAAGTCTGTTGCATCACTACCTCACATGAATTCAGCTGCTGTGCTTATTCAAAGACTCATGCATTTTTTTACCCAAATAGTAAACTGGAACATAAGAACTCTGGTGGACGTTGAAGTACCAAAAAAACTAAGAACATACCACTTGCAACAGCAAAGCATCAGCCTACAATTTGAAGAAGAGTTGTAGGCTTAAGAGCTTTTTATTGACAGTTCTTTTTTTGTCCATGGATAGGGTGAGAATTAAATCTTGCGTTAAAAAAATGTTCATCTTAATTTAAGTAAGCACCCATATTGATTTTTAGTAGGGAAATTATCAAGAACTTACCTCCAATACATGTTACCACTGAAAAAGTAGGTTTTTCCATTATGCCCCCAGACCATGGCCGCGTCCAGGTTACTAAGCGACGCGGGCAGACCCAATCGCGTCAAAGGTTTCGGATAATCTCGTTCCATCGTGTTGCCAGAGTACACGTAGTAATTTCTACCGACGAAAAACACCATCTTGTTATCGGGCCTCTCGTATACGGCGTCGATGTGCGTTAAATTTTTCGGCAGGTCCTTCCACATGCGATTAGTTTCGACGGGATATCCCGGCGCGAGACCCTTGTCGCTGATTCGCCAGAAATACTGCAGAGAGAAAAGGTTAGCGCGAAAATGGTTGACGTGTAAATGAGCGCTTACCCGATCTTTAAAAATGAAGACCTCGCCGCGAACGACGGAAATCGCGTCGTAACCGGTGTCGCAGGTGTTGGGCACGGAACTCTCCTTCGGGTTGTAGGATGGGTAATTGTCGACGGGGTAGCGCTGCGGGTGCCTACTGGAGTAAGTTGTGGTTTCGGGCCGTTTCGCCGGGTAATAACGCTCATCGGGGAGCTCGGGACGCGGTGGTGGTTTGGGTGGGTAATTCCTGTTACGGTGTGGGTTGTACGGGTACTTAACATCGGGAGACATCGGTTTTTTATGCATGGGTTTTTCCGTGAAGGTTTTTTTCGGATAGCGAGGATCTTGCGGTTTCTCTGGATAATAAGGTCTTTGAGGGTAATTGGGATAGTTATGGTTCGGTCTCGTTGTTCGGCGTGTTGGTCTTGTTCGAGTGGGAGGTGGCGTGGGACGTGGCGGCGGCCTCGTGGGCGGCGGCGGAGTTTGCAGAGGCGGATGATATGCAGGATTATGTCCCCATACTTGATCGGTAGGAGATCCTAAACATATAATTTAATATTTGCATTTTGCAGTCGAATGAAATGGATAGGTAATACCGTAGAGTGTCTGTATTCCTAAACGGTCGTCTTCAGGCAGTTCGTAGTTAAAGCCGTTTTGCATTCCCTGATACCAAGGGAACATCAGTGCTCCTTCAACAGAGGAATGTGACAGTCCTAGGGAATGCCCAAATTCGTGCGCTGCTACATGGAATAGACTGGTACCTGTAAAATAAAATGTATTCTTAGTACTAAATCATAAATGCCGCAAACATGTCTACAATACAACGGTGAAATTGTTGTATTTTCTCCACCACAATTTTTAAAACGCGCCCGGGACCCAACAATCCCAAAGCGGTTCGAGATAGATGAAAATAAATACTATCTATTGTGACATACCCCTACGGTTAGGCAACACACCTCACATCAGAAATATCGCAGAATGGGAAAACATACGAAAGGCTCTGTATTATACACCAATCGTTCTGCGCAGATGCCGGGGAAACGGGGGTTTTCGCAAAGAAGTTTGGCAAGAGAGATACTTAGCGTTAACGGGACTTGGACCCAAGCGCTCGAGTGATGGCGGGTGTAGCGGGATGGCGTGCATGGTTTTTCTCAATGTTTATTTTGTTTCAAAAGTGCATTTACAGGTAGTAATCTCGTACTAACCATTAACCTTTGAATTTCATGTTACAATTTGTTATTTGAGTACCATTACGGAATCATGCTTGTTTGTTATACTGTACTGTTATGCTTTTGTATTATTTTATTAAGTATTTATTTATGAATTTATGTTAAACTGAAATGTGATTAATAATTAAGTTACTTATAACGGCCTTGGCCTGTTAAATTCCATAACATTTGTAAACAAAGCTTCTATCGCAACGGTAAACGACAGCAACTTGATCTATATGTCCATTTTGTATTTGAAACTATTTTCTAAGTTTGAAATTGGGTTCTTTTCGTAGCGCGTCTGTTATTTGACACAGATCAGCCGGATGACGTTAACAACTATATTATAGTGTGGTGTCGCCTGTATGATTCGATTAACAATTTATTTCCGTGAAGGGAGTACCTGATACACTTCTGATTCTTCGCTGCATACGTTGCTTCCCTATCTATCGTACCCGCTGCCGAACGGTGCGTTAAGCAATACAAGAATGGGGGTCCTCTAATTAACGTCTCATCTGTTTCGTATGCGATTCTGGTGGGGATAATCAACTTAAACATGAATACTGCTTGCGTTCTCACTTGTACTTTTCATGTTAAATTAATGGCAGCAGAGGTTGGAGTAGAGCCATGCCATATTGTGTTTTTTTCATACTTAGGATGTAACGGTACCCCATTTTGAACGGTCGGAAATTGATGGTTTCCCGTTAGCACCTTCTATGGACACTTTTTTCAGAGATTGTTTTTTTTTACTGAATGAGATAGAGTACCAAAAAGAAATTCATTTGAATGCATCGCCATCATAGCCACATTGATTCAGCGAGATATAGTTACTGGTGGATGTTTTGTTGCTAATTAAAGTAAAACATTTGATTTTGAAATCTCTCTTGCAAATTCATGTATAAATAGAGTGTGACACGTCAATATTTTTCTTTTTTGTCCTCTTATCTCATTCCGTAAAAATCCAATATGGCGCCCATAACAATTAAGGGAATAGTAGCCTGTAGCTTCTCCATCTAGCGTAAAATTCTGATAACAGATTCAGAATTTCCGAAAAAAGTGCCCATAGAAGGGACTAACGGGGACCGTCCATTTCCCACAGTTATTTTCAAAGCTTTCTAAAGTGTTTGTTTAGTCACAAAAAGGGGCAGGTTGGCTCTCATTCAACCTACACTGTATCTCGCTCACCGTTGCGGGGATCCCAATAGTGAGCCACAAATTTGATGCACCCTGTACATCATTTTCGGGTAGACATTTTGGAAATGAAAAAATAAAAAAGAGCATACCCAAAAAAATATGGGTGAAGCGACAAGTTCCATTTTCTTGACACCATTGAGATTGACACGCTCTTCGTCTTTTTTACAATATTTTCACGCCACTTCAACGCCTAGTTCAAATTTCTTCACGACTCACTCATGCTTCCCTGGTTTAGGCTTCTTCCATTGCCATTTTCTTTATGCCTCTTTCTGTCTCATTTCCCACTTTGATGATGATACTTTCTTCACATTTTTTCCGAAAAGGATTCCTTCTGGCTCTTCACTCCATCTTTATGAATAAACCTATGCCTCTATCACTCTCTTCATATTCCGATTCCTTACAGTGTTTACGTCCCTTTTTCTTCAGACATCCCCGAAAACCTTCTACATTTTACATCCTTCATACTTTACGAAGCGTTTGTGCCTACGTCAGTTTTGTCTTTCCTGCTCTTACCAATTTCTTCACGCCTCCTCTGTTCACACACCTTTTGCTCTTACAAGCCCTATCTCCACTTTGTCTAGATTTCTGTCCTTATCGCTTCCTACTTTTCTTCCGCCCCTATTAGCTTCGTACCGGTTTTTTAAACCCTCTCTGTTACGTTCACGCTACCTTAAATCTCCTTCGCGCTTTCTTTGTGTTTACCCTCTGTTACTCTTCACTTCTTATACACGTTTTTTCACTCGCACTTCCTCTACCTCTCCCTCGTTTACGTCTTATTTTTGTTTCCATGATAATTTTTACTGACACACTTCCTTCACTACACTTTTACATATCTTTCTTCACATTTCTCCTCTTTATGATCCATTTATCCTTCCACCACACATTATTTACTCCTCCTACGCCAAACCCTCCCCTTTAAGCAAATGTCGAGGTTTTTTAGGCCATATTTGTTTCCTTCCTCTCTCTATACACCTCTGACCCCCTTTCCCCTTGTGTTTTTCCTCAAATCTCCTTCACTCTCCATTTCCTTTCGTTCCTTTCCCTAAATTACGATTCCTTCAAATGTGCTTCGTTTTATACATTTTCACGTTTATCTTGTTCTTTGAAGTTAACGCTCTTCCTTTACACACATCTATCCTTCACGTTGTGAGGTTCCACCCTGTATATACAACTTACGACGGTGCACACATTTTTGAGAGTTGGCAACCACGACATTTTTAGGAGGGGAACGCTGTTTTTGCGCCATCCGGAGAGCGCGAACGTGGGTTACGTTTGGTATCTTGTCTTTAATGGCGGCCGTGAACGCGTCGCTCCATAAATGTGTTTTTATTGTGTTATTTAATGCAGGTAGTACTCTTTGCATTTCTTTATATCGGATTTGTGTTTTGTATGCAGCATTTTATATTTTTGTGATTTTCAATCTTTGTTTTTGAAATTGACTTGATTTAACCTTAATGCAGAATCACATATTTGATACCGTTATCCTTTTGTTTGTAATCGTTTACGTTTTTGGTGTAATGCTTGCTTAATTTCTGTTTATGTTTTAATTACATGGTTTTGACCAGAAGTAACATTCATATAAATTCTGATAATTTTATTTTAATATATGGAAATTACGGAGTTGTTTTGTGTGTGTACTGACTTGTTGTTTGTAACTAACATTTTCTCCGTGAATGAAGCAGTCACGGGGGTGGCAAAAACTGTAATCAAATTGAGTTACGACACCTAATTTCGTGATCGATTTCAACTGTAGGCTCGGAACCGAACCGAACGAGGGTCGAGTTATCTATCTTGCGGGGGCGAGATTACGCTAATCAAAACTATTCGGTTTAGAATCTCTTTCTTAAAATCTTGGTGCTTACCTGACCTATAATTCCCAAAACTTGTATTTAACCTATATGTTACCTCTTGAAGTCTACATGCTACTTATTTTGTTATAATATTATGTTACGCATTCACATCATTACAAACAATTAATTTTACAACACAATTTGATATTAATTTGACAGCTGGTTTTTTTATTGGTAAGTTCTTTTTTTCCCAGCCCATTTCTATTTTTATTCGGTGAACTACCACTTTCAAAGTTTATTTTTGCAATGTAATTTATTTTGACTTAAATTTCCGAGCTTTTACAATCATAATAATAACGATCATTATTAAACAAACTTTTCACAATTTCAGTGTTTTATTTTACGTTCCTTCCCTAGTGTACCTACTTCAGATCATAGCGTTGCTTACAACTAACGTAAGGGGACCCTGCCTTAGATGTTTTATAAATATCACGTGCATCTTTTCAAATTTAAGCGGGATCTTGTTTAGTTTTGGAGGGAATAGTCATTCGGGTGGCCATTTTTAAACATTGCCGGATTGACTTTATTTTCCGTGTTCTTGTAGTGTGAAGTTAGCGTAGAATCTGGGGGTTAAGTCTTTCAGGCCCTCTTCAAGATTTTTTTGATTCATCGTTCAAGTTCGCCTTCATTCTTCCTCGTGTTGTAGATTTCTTCACTCATCCGGATCACATATATGATTCGTACCTTCTTTTCGCGTTTTCTCCACGTGTTTGTTTCGCTACTTCCACGACTCTCATTTGCATCTCTTCCATGACCATTTTCTTTACGCCCTTCTCGTTTGCACTATTGGCGCTCCTCCACCACTTCTCCACACCTTGCTTTTTCAAGAATTCTTTCTTCGCACCTCTTTCACGCCGATCTGCTTCACTCCTTTCACACTTTTGTTCACGTTTTTGCTATTCAGGTCAGCTTTATGATTCCAATACACCCCTTTTATGTCTTCTTCTTTCCTTCTTCACGTCTTCTTTTTTAACGCTTTCTTGTCTTACACCTAATTTACGCATCATCCTTTAACTTCATTGTCTTTCAATCTATTTTCCTCCTCGCCTCTTTCTTTCATGTTTGCTCAATTTTTCCTCCCGCCGTTTTTCTACCTTCTTGACACAACATTTTCGCCCTCTTCTACTCCTCGACGCCCACGCCCCACCTCTGCCATTAGCACTTTCTTCTCGCCTCTTCCACAGCATGTTGCTTAACAAATCTTTTCTTCATGCTTCTTTCGCGTTGTACAGCTACACTTTAATACTCTTCAAGTCTGCTTTATCTACTATTCCATTATCCCCTTTAAAAAGGGCTTATTATTCATCTGTTAGCGCGTTCTCCCTTCACGCTCCCTTGACTTGCCGTTCGGGTCCTCTTTCTGCTACGTCTCCTTTCCCAATGCTTCGATCACGTTTTCTTCATCAATCTTATGAAATCTCCGAAAGTCGCCGAGTCATCATAAACCTGCCATGCAAAAAATAGTTGGATTGTGTGAGTCTGCAAACTGGGTCTCTGATATTCCTCTTA